TAGCATCCTCAAGGTTCATCCATGTGCTAGCACGTGTCAGAATTTCCTTCCTTTTTTAAGGCTGAATAATGTTTGACTGTATGGAGAGACCACATATTTGTTTATGTCGGTGGACATTTGTGTTGCTGCTATCTTTCTGCTGCTGTGAATAACGCTGTGCCAAGACTGGCTCAGCCGTGGAGACCCCAGCCCAGGTGGCACTGAAGGAATTAAGATACAGCCACAGAGAGAGAGCGAGTGAGAGAGAGAGAGCACAAAAGGTGGGTTCAGAGTGGAGCACCAGGGGTCTCACAACATTTCTAGCCAAGAGTCCAGAGCAGACTCTTACCTATGTATTTATTCTTGACTTTCCGGTGACAAGTTTTACAAGTAGATGCTCTGTGTTGTTTCACTGGTTAAAGGTAAACTAACCAGGCCGCTAGTGTATGTTTACTATAGGTTAAAGACAAACTAGAAAGCACTCTTTACAAGGGAACAAAGGAAAGGGTCACACATCCTGTGTTCAAAGAACTAATTCATCTGGTGTGAGACATTTATATTGGTTACTGTTTTATAGTGCTTGGAGCAGTTTTCTGCTTTGGGGGCAGTTTTCCGCTTTGAGGGGCCGACTAGGTTTCCCTTGCCGCTGCTCTCAATAGGATTTCTCAGTAAACAATATGATTTCTCACATGTCAGAATTTGCTCTCAACAATGCTGCTATGAACATTAGTGTATAAATGTGTGAGGCCCTTTCAATTGTAGGGGTACATATTCAGAAGTGGAAATGCTGGATTATATGGTAATTCTTTGAGACAGAGTCTTGCTCTGTCACCCAGGCTGGAGTGCAGTGGTTCAATCTTGGCTCACTGCAACCTCTGCCTCCTGGGTTCAAGGGATTCTTATCCCTCAGCCTCCTGAGTAGCTGGGATTACAGGCCTGCACCGCCAAGCCCGGCTAATTTTTGTATTTTTAGTAGAGAAGGGGTTTTAGCATGTTGGCCAGGCTGGTCTTGAACTCCTGGCCTCAAATAATTGGCCTGCCCTGTCCTCTCAAAGTGCTGGGATTATAAATGTGAGCCACCATGCCTAGCCTATTTTTAACTTTTTGGTGAATTAACACACTGTTTTCCACAGCTGCAGCTCCATTTTAAACTCCCAGTAAGAGAACACAAGGGTTCCAACCGCTCAGCATCCTCGCTAACACTTGTTTTTTTCTGTATTGATTACAGCCATCCTAATGAGTCTGAAGTGGCGTCTCCTTGTAGGTTTTCTTCTTTTTCTTTTTTTGAGACGGAGTCTCGCTGTCACCCAGGCTAGAGTGCAGTGGTGTGATCTTGGCTCACTGCAACCTCCGCCTCCCAGGTTCAAACAATTCTCCTGCCTCAGCCTCGCAAGCATCTGGGACTGGAGGCACGTGCCACCACACCCAGCTAATTTTTCTATTTTTAGTAGAGATGTGGTGTCGCCATGTTGGCCAGGCTGGTCTCAAACTCCTGACCTCAAGCGATTCACCCACCTCGGCCTTTCAGAGTGCTGGGATTACAGGCATGAGCCACCATGCCCAGCCTTTCCACGTGATTTTGGTTGAGTTTCCCTAGTAATTAGTGATGGTGAGCATCTTTTTATCTGCTTATTGGCCATTTGCATCTCTTATTTGGAGGACTGTCTATTCAAGTCCTTTACACATTTTTGAACTGCGTTAGTTAGGTTTTTGTTGTTGCATTGTGAGTGCTTTTATATATTCTAGATGGGAACTCTTTAACAGAATTTGCACATCTGTCCTGTCATTCTGTAGGTTGCCTTTTCACAATGTTAATACATCCTTCGATGTGATCCAATTTGTCTACTTTTCCATTTGTTGTTTGGGCCTTTGGTGTCATATCCAAGAAATCATTGCCAAAGGAAACTCTCCTTCTATGTTTTAACAGTTGTTGGCCGGGAATGGTGGCTCACACCTATAATCCCAGCACTTTGGGAGGCCAAAGCAGGTAAATCATGAGGTGAGGAGTTCAAGACCAGCCTGACCAAGATGGTAAAACCCCGTCTCTAGTAAAAATACAAGAGTTACCTGGGCATGGTGGTGGATGCCTGTAATCCCATCTACTTGGCAGGCTGAGGCAGAGAATTGCTTGAACCTGGAAGCTGGAGGTTGCAGTAAGCCGAGATCATGCCACTGCACTCCCTCCTGGGTGACAGAGTGAGACTCCATCTCAAACAAACAAGAGTTGTATAGTTTTAGAGCTTACAGTTAGGTCTTTGATTCATTTTTTTTTAAACGTGATATAAGGTAAGGGTTTAACTTCATTCGTTTGCCTGTGGATATCTAGTTTTCCCACACCATTTGTTGAAAGACCGTCCTTTCCCTGATTGAATAGTCTTGGCATCCTTATTGAACTCATTTGCCCGTGTGTGTAAGGGTTTCCTTCTGCACTCTGTACTCCATTCCACTGGTCTCTCTGTCTTTACTGCTTTACCACACTTTCGACCACTGTAGCTTTTAATAATACAATATGAAATTGGGAAGTAAAAGACTTCCAACTTTGTTATACTTTTTCAAGATTGCTTTGGCCTTTTGGGATCCCTTGAAATTGTGTATAAACTTTATGAAATGTATAAGTATGGATTTTTATGTAATTGAAGAAAAAAATGTTACTGAGATTTTGGGATCAATTACACTAAACCTGTAGATCACTTTGAGTCGTATTGACATCTTAATGAATCTAAGCCTTATAATGTGTAATTATGAGATGCCTTTACATTTGTTACACAACCGGTCTCTGGAAATCTAAATCCTGCCAAAGTCTTTGCCTCCTGGTTAAGTTTATTCCTATTTTATTCTTTTTGATGCTATTGTAAACAGCCTTTTTTTTTTTTTTTTTTAAGATGGTGTCCCACTATGTTGCCAGGGTGGAGTACAGTGGCTATTCACAGGCATAATCATTATAAAAACTGACAGCATTGACCTCCCAGGCTCAAGTGATTCTCCTGCCTCAGCTTCCCAAGTAGCTCAGACTATAGGCATCCACAATCAAGCCCTGCAGGAACTGTTTTCTTAATTTCCCTCTTGGATTGTTGACTGTTAGTGTGTAGAAATGCAACTGACATTTACATGTTGATTTCATAATCCAGAAACTTTGACAGATTACTAGTTCTTACAGATTTTTTCATGCAGTCTTCAGGATTTTCTACAAAGAAGGTCATGCCATTTGTTAACAGAGATAATTTTATTTCTTCTTTTCCGATTTGGATGCCTTTTCTTTTTCCTTTGTTTCTTAATAGCTCTGGCTAGGATTTCCAGTATTATGAAAGCAGGCATCACTGTTTTATTCTTCATGTTGGAAAACTTTGTCTTTCATCATTGAAATGATGTTAGCTATGGGTTGTTCATATGACCTTTATTACATTGAGATTATTTCTATTTCTAGTCAGTGTGTTTTTAATCATGAAAGGGTATTAAACTTTGTTAAATGCTTTTTCTTTACTAATTGAAACAAAGTCATGCGTTTTCTTTCCTTCATTCTGTTAGTGATATCTTACATTGATTTTTATATGGTAACCACCTTTGCATTCCAGGAATAAATCTCACTTGACGATGTTGTAGAATCCTTCTATGACACTGTTGAATTCTCCTTATTAGTATTTTCTCGAGAGCTTTTGCATCTGTATTGATGAGGGATAGTGGTGGTGTTTTCTTCTGGTGCTTTTTCTGCCTTTGGTATCAGTAATGCTGGCCTCGCAGAATGAGTTTGGAGGTATTCTTTCCTCAGTATTTTGGAAGAATATGAACAGGATTGGTATTGATTCTGTAAATGTTTGGTACAAGTCACCCATGAAGCCATGTGTTCTTGTACTTTTCTTTCTTGTCAAGTTTTTAGTCACTGATTCAATTTCCTTGGTAGTGATAGGTCTGTTTTTCCATCTTCTATTTCATGTATTTCTGTTCTAACATTTATTTCCTTCCTTCTCCTAGCTTTGGGTTTAGGCTGTTCTTCTTTTTCTAATAATTTAAGGTACAAAGTTAGGATTATTGGTTTGAGAATTTTTCCTTTTTCTTTTATTTGAGAGAGGGTCTTGCCACGTTGCCTGAGCTGGTCACAAACTCCTGGGCTCAAGCAATCTCTTGGCCTCAGCCTTCCAAGTAGCTGGGATTATAGAACAGTGTCACTATACCTGGCTGCTGCTGCTTTTGTGTGTGTGGTTGTTGGGGAAAATGGAGTCTAGCCGTGTCACCCAGGCTGGAGTGCAGTGGTGCAATCTCGGCTCACTACGACCTCCTCCTCATGGGTTCGAGGGATTATTCTGCCTTTGCCTCCCAAGCAGCTGGATTAAAGGCACTTGCCACCATGCCTGGCTAATTTTTATGTTTTTAGTAGAGACGGGGTTTCACCATGTTAGCTGGGCTGGTCGTGAACTCCTGACATGAGGTTATCTGCCTGCCCGAGCCTCCCAAAGTGCTGGGATTACAGGTGTGAGCCACCGCCCCCGGCCAGCTTTAAGGTAAGCACATACAGCTATAAATTTCCCACATAGCGCTGCTTTTGCTGCATCCCATAAGATTTGATACATGATTTTGTTTCAAAATAGTTTTTTCCTTTTTTAAAATCGTACTTTAGGTTCTGGGATACATGTGCAGATCATGCAGGACTGTTGCACAGGAACATACATGGCAAGGTGGTTTGCTGCCTCCATCCCATCACCTCTATCTGGTATTTCTCCCCTCATTATCCCTCCCCACCCGCATTGTCCCTCCCCTACTGACCGCAGTATGTGCTCACCTCCCTGTGTCCACGTGTTCCAATTGTTCAACACCCGCCTATGCGTGATAACGTGCGGTGTTTGGTTTTCTGTTATTTTTCTTTGATCCATAGTTTTGTAGTATGTTTAGTTCCCATAGATTTGTGGAAATTCTGGTTTTCCTTCTGCTATTATGATTTCAGTTATTTAAAATGTATTAAATGTTGCTTCGAGGCCTAATATATGATCTTTCCCAGAGAACATTCCACATGTACGTGGAAGAATGTGTATTCTGCTGCTGGGTGAAGTCATCTGTGTATGTCTGGTAGGTCCAATTCGTCTATAGTATTGTTTAAGCCCTCTGTTTCCTTCTTGATCTTCTGTCTGGGTGTTGTATCAATTATTCAAAGTGAATTATTGGGCCGGGCGCGTGGCTCATGCCTGTAACCCTGGCACTTTGGGAGGCCAAAGCAGGTGGATCACTTGAGGTCAGGAGTTTGAGACCAGCCTGGCCAACAGGGTGAAACTCTGTCTCTACTAAAAATAGCCAGGTGTGGTGGTGTACACCTGTACTCCCAGCTACTCTGAGGCTGAGGCACAGGAGTCATGTGACTCCAGGACGTTACGGTGACCTGTATCACACCACTGCACTCCGGCCTGGGCAATGGAGGCAGATTCTGTCTCAAAAAAATAAAAAGTAAAAAGTGAGGTGTTGAAGTCACCTACTGTTATCGTACAACTATGTTTCTCCTTTCAGTCTGTCAGTGTTCGCTTCACATATTTAGGAGCTCTGAGGTGCATTGCATGTACAGTTATAACTGTTACATCTTTTTGGTGAATTCGCCATTATCTCTTATAACAGCTTTTGACCTTAAGTCTATGTAGTCTGAGATTAGTCTAGCTCCTCCTTTTTTTTGGTTACCATTTGCATGGAATATCCTTTTTCATCCTTTCACTTTCAACCTATGTGTAAGTCTCTTACAGTCTTTTGATGGTGGAATTCATTTGCATTTTTAAAGACTGTCATCTGATGAAACTCACTACCCTGGTGGGTGACTGTGCCGTGAGGCCCACAGCCAAGGGCTCAGTGAGCAGCTGCTCTGGGAGGACCCCAGCACACCATTTGCGGGGCCTCCCGGTGCCACTCTGTGGATTGTTTTCTGCACAGCTTATGGTTTCTCACTTCCTTCCTTCTGCCTGTCTTTGTGTTTGATTTTTTTTGTGTGACACACTTAGAATCCCTTCTCATTTCCTTTTGTGTACATTCTACAGATATTTCCCTTGTAATTACCATGAGGATTACATAAAACATCCTGAAGTTATAGCAATCGATTTTAAACTAGTAAGTTCAATCACATACAAATACTCTACTCCTTGACAGCTCTGCCTCCTCCTATGTTGTTGATGTTACAAAATATATCTATGTTTTAGAGAGAGGGCCTCACTCTGTCACCCAGGCTGGGGTGCAGTGGCACTGTCATAGCTCATTGTAATCTCAAGACCCTGGACTCAAGTGATCCTCCATAGCTGAGACTACAGGTGCATGCCACCATGCCTAATTTTTTTAAAAATAAATTATGTATTTAACATAGACTTATGGTTACATATCTCTCAAATCCAATAAAATAATTAAAATCAGAGATATGAATCAATTTCAATCATACAGGTCTTTATATGTGGCTTCAAATGTCCACTTCGCATCCTTTTGTTTTGACTTGAAGGACTCCCTTTAGCACTTCTTGCAGGGTAGGTCCCAATGTAATGAACTCTCTCAGCTTCTGTTTATCTGAGAATGTCTTAATTTCTCTGGTCAGGTGCAAGGTGGGAGGATCACATGAGGTCAGGAGTTCAAGACCAGCATGGCCAACATGGTCACACCCTGTCTCTATTAAAAATACAAAAACATGGTGGCGGATGCCTGTAATCCCAGCTATTTGGGAGGCTGCACCACTGTACTCCAGCCTGGAGGACAGAGCAATACCGTATCTCAGAAAGATGATAAAAAGCGTCTTAATTTCTTCCTCTTTTTCTTATGAGAGTTCATAAGATGCCTTTGTTTTATAACTTATAACCACCTTTTAATTTGTTCTTGAAAATTTAACTAATTGGTGACTGCTTTTCTTAAATACTTCACTGGTATCGAAGAAAGGGGAAGAATTTAGCCCTTGATTGAAAAAAGATAAACCTGGCTGGAGACAGTGGCTCACACCTGTAATGCCAGCACTTTGGGAGGCTGAGGCAGGCAGATCATGAGTTTTGATGTTCGAGACCTTCCTGGCCAACATGGCAAAATCCTGTCTCCACTAAAAACACAAAAAAATTAGCTGGGCATGGTGGCACATGCCTGTAATCCCAGCTACTCAGGAGGCTGAGGCAGGAGAATTGCTGGAATCCGGGATGCAGTGAGCTGAGATTGTGCCACTGAAGTCCAGCCTGGGTGACAGAGTAAGACTGTCTCAAAAAAACCCTAAGAGGAATTGAGAGGACCTTAACGGCAGATAATACTCCATTGTTACCCTGTGGCTATAAATTTTGAGTTGCTTGTCCTCCCAGAGGTTCTGTTGATGGCTGTAGTAGCTGACAGCTTCGTATTTACACAGTCAACGAGTGCTTCTGTTTGATTCCCAGATTCTCCAAGCTTCCCGTGGCGCCACACCAGCTCCTGTCTTGGCACTTCGTGAGTCCAAGGCTGCTTCCAGAGAGGGTCTGGTTGGTAGACCATGACATTGATTCCTGCCTCTAAGCCTAGCTTTATTCTCAGCAGCCCCCACCTTTTTGGTGCTAGAAGAGTGCTTTTTCTAGTACACTCATAAGTGGATGCTGAAATCACAACCTGGCCATTTGGATGTTCAACTACTGCTTTATGCTGCGGAGTCCCTGGAACTCGCCAACCCGTGCCGGAACTCACCGGAGCTCAGGTGTGTAGCACTACCTTGTTTCTCTATGGCTGGAAGTGCAAACATTGTTCATGCATTTATTTCCCATTTTTATACTTTGGAGGTTTTGTTTTGTGAGACAGGGTCTCACTCTGTCATGCAGCCAGGAGTGTGATCATGGCTCACTGCAGCCTTGACCTCCCGGGTTCAAGCCATCTCGCCTCAGCCTCCCAAAGTGCTAGGAATACAAGTGTGAGCCACTGCACCTGGCCTACTTTTGAGCTTTGAGTTCTTTGTATATTCTAGAGATGAGTCTCTGCAGATGAGTCCTTGGTCTGATAGGTGGTTTGTAAACGTTTTTCCCAATCTGTAGCTTATCTTTCCATCTTCCTAATCGAGAGAGCAGAAATGTGGTCTCTCTGGCAAATACTGTTGCAGGAAAGCAGACACAGTATGTATATGAACATGTGGATGTATCCCCTGAGTAAGTGTCCACTTGTGGTAAAGAGATCTCGAGACAGATCAGTGCTGAAAGGTTATTTCATTCAGTAATAGTTGAGCTGGGTATAAACTCTAACCTCATCCTTACTTTCTCTTACTCCACTGTCTGCTGTTGCTGCTGGTGGGAAAGCAATTGTCAACATGCTCTTCCTCCTTTCCACCCTCAGTAGCTTTTAGGACCTTTTGTCTTTTCTGCAATTTTGTTTTGATGGGCCTAGGTATGGATGGATTTATTGAATTGGGGATTGTGCCTCCTGACTCTAAGGGGTCCTGTCTCTGTTTACATTCTGGAATTTTCTTTTTTTGAGACAGACTCTCACTCTGTCAACAGGCTGGAGTGCAGTGGCAAGATCTCAGCTCACTGCAACCTCCACCTCCTGGGTTTAAGCAAATCCTCTTTTTGCCACTGACTTCTGTGCCCTTTTAGTGGGGCTTTGGCTGTGGCAATCATATGCAACACTGGCTAAAGAATCTCTCACCACGTAGGCTCTCATGCTATCTCAAGGTAGCTAGTGTTAGAACTGAATTAGAGGGACACCCTGGTAGTGGGGACAGACCCCCACACATTTGCTCACAGAAGTCATCTGTGTTGATGATGATTGTTGTGGTATGAGAGCAGAGGGAAAACAGGGGCTGAGTATTTTGCCTCAAGTGTGTACATTCAAATCCCTAATGAGGCTGGGCATGGTGGCTCACCCCTGTCATCCCAGCACTTTGGGAGGCCGACGCAGGAGGATCACCTGAGGTCAGGAATTCATGACCAGCCTGGCCAACACAGCAAAAACCCATCTCTACAAAAATACATGCCTATAGTTTTGGGAGGCTGAGGCAGGCATATTGCTTGAACCTGGGAGATGGAAGTTGCAGTGAGGCGAGATTGTGCCACTACTCTCCAGCCTGGGCAGTTCATAATTAAGAGATAAATTGACTCACAGTTCTAGAGGCTGTACAAGCATAGCTCCAGCATCTGCTTGGCTTCTGGCGAGGCCTCGGGAAGCTTACAATCATGGGAGAAATGGGAGTGGGTGCAAGGAGAGAGAGGCGGTGCCAGGGTTCTTTATAAACAGACTGCTCTCATGTGAACTAATAGAGCAGGAACTCTGGCTTCACCAAACGGAGGGCACTAAGCCATTCATGAGGGAATGCACTCCCTCTAACAAACGTGAGATTTGGAGGGGACACACTTCCAAGCTGTGTCAGGCTGTAGATGTTTTGCTTTGACTCTTAGCTCCTTGAATGATAATTGAGTATTTGTCCTAGAGAGAGGGAGAAAGACAGACAGTTTTACCTCCAGACTGGAAGGCAGATGCCAGACAGGGCAGAGTGCCAGCTGGTTGGGGCAGCTTACCACACGGGGGGGGAGGGGCCAGGGGCACAAAGCTACAGGCACATAGGTGGATGTAGGTGGCCGCCAGAGCGCAGGCAGGCTGGAGCTCCCAGGTGCCACAGGGGTCCTACACACAGGCTGAGGAATGGTGCAGGGTCCACCTGAAATCAGGGCCACTCAGTCACTGTCCCTACCCTGGGGAGTGGCATGGAGGAGGGGCCTAAGCTAGATCGGGGAAAGGGCGCACACTCACCACCCAGAAGCAGTTCCCCAAGCTGGAGCAGGGGTCCTGGAAGAAGGCCCTGCAGGTGGGGCTCTGTCCTGGGCAGGCCTACTGAGTCTTCTCGGTGGCCCTGCAGTCAACATCCACCTGGCGGGACAGACAAGACTCAGGCCTCCCGCTGGACCATGTGGCCTCCCCACATACTCCTACTCAGCAGGAGACTCCTCCAAACCCTGGGCCTGCAAAGTCCTCTGCAGAGCCAGCAGGCCACCTGCCTCTCCCGGGACTCCAGCAAGCAGCCCTCAAGAGACTCAGCTGGAGGGAGGAAGGGAAGGTTCACCCACTCACCTGCCAGGCCAGCATGAGCTCCTCCACGCTGCAGGCCACAGAGCCGTCCAGCAACATCAGCTCATTGCCTGCTTCATTGTAGTCAGTGCCCAGAAGGCCTGTGGATATGCATGTGGGGAGGAGGGAAGCTGAGGAGGTCCTGAGAGCCTGTGATCCTCCCACAGGGGACCTGTGTGTGAGATGAGCCTGAGGCACACCGAGGAGTGGTAGAATCCTGCCACCTCTACCCCGGACTCCCGGAACCCAGGGCCCAGGCTCCAAACCCTCATCAGAGGAGGTAGAGAAAGCACAGGGACTGAGGATAGCATGTGTCCCCCATGTCCTCAGCTCAAGTGGCCGTAATCCAGGCCCTTCCTTTGTGTTCCTTGGCAGAGAGACCACAGAAGGGCCAACTCTACCCTGGAGCCATGTATCCCAGGGATGGGGGCAGAAAGACCTGGGCCTCAGTGCGATTTTGTGGACACAAGGTCAGTAACATGCTGCAATCCTAGAGACAAGGCCAGCAGAGCCTCTGCATCCATAGTCACCGCCTACAACCCGGGGATCTGTCGCACTAGATGCTGAGACTGGTGCATCCCGAGGAGGCTCTTGGCGATGGGGCCAACCCCACCGGGGCCCAGACTCACCATGGTGCCAGAGGCCCAGAGTCAGGCTGCAGAGGCCAGTGGGCATGACACAGGAGATGGAGACCCCGTCCTCACTGGCCAGCTCAATCCTGAGGATGTCCCTCCTTGTCATGGCAGGAGGCAGCTGGAGGTCTGGACAGCTCTCCCCAGCAGGGAAGAGTTGTATAGCCTGTAGGCCTGTGGGCCAGAGCCGGTGGGTAGGAGGGCTGACCCACAGCCAGGGGACAAGCTTGAAAGGGCCATTCCCCCAGGTGACCTGCCACAGGTTCAGGTCTCTGGGGGAAGCTCAGGCCTCTTCTCACCTGCAGGCTGGGGTAGAAGATGAGGGTCATGTGATTCAGCTCCACGGTCAGGGCCATGAGCCCCAAGTCTGTCCGACTCAGCATCAGGGAGAATGTGTTGTGAGTAAAGTCTTGGGCCAGCAGGATGCTGCCACACTGGGCGCTGAGGTCCCATACCCGGCCATCGAATGTCACCATGTGCTGGGCCCCAGCCACCAGGGCATGATCTGGGGAGAAGCAGCCCCAAAGGCAGGGTGAGTGGGGTCAGGTCCACCCACCGCAGTGGGAGCCCAATGCCTTCTGGACACCCCAATGCCTAGAGCCCCGGCTTAGTCTGCCCTGAGGCCAGGAGTCCCCCTCCCCTGGTGCAGCAGCCAGAGGCCCAGTGATCCCCCACCAGCTTCAAGATGACATGAGCTGAAGGTCTACGGCCCATTCAGCCCTAACAAGGAATGGAGTCCCGAGACCCGGGATGTCCAGAGCAGGGACAGCCATGGACACAGCAGGCAGATTGGTAGCTGCAGGGTTTCATTTTAGGATGATAAAAACCTTTTAAAATCGATTGTGGTGAGTCATGCACAATTCTGTGAATAAAGTAGAAGCCACTGAATCATGCACTTAAAATTCACAGATCGGCTGGGCACGGTGGCACTGAGCCATCCCAGCGCTTTGCAGGGCTGAGGCAGGAGGATCACCTGAACCCAGGAGGTCAAGGGTGTAGTGAGCTGAGATCATACCACTGCACTCCAACCATGACAACAGAGTGAGACCTAGTTTCAAAAAAAAAAAAAAAAAAAATGACAGATCATACAAGTCATCCATTTGATCTCAAGGAAGCTACTGGGGGAGGCGGGGGGAGACACTGACTAGTTAAGTGGATGGCCAATGGCTCCCTCAAACATGAGAGTGGTGTCCTGCAGCCCTGCCCTCTTCAGGGTAGGGAAGAGATGGCCTGTGAAGGAGCAGGTCTGAGTAGTCCAGCCAGTGTGGTCCCTGAGCTGCCTTGAGGGTGCTTGTGCCCGTGGCAGGGAAGCACCATCTACAGTGCACAGCCAGGCACCTGATGGCCAGGGCCAGCATCCCAAGGGAGGCACTACCAGTCCCATGGTCAGCTGTCAGAACTGAGGGGCACAGAGAAGCCCATGGTCACACACACAGAACTTGAAGACCAGCTGTTTTCTACAGCATCAGAGTGCTGCTTAGACATGACTGCACCCACGCTTCTAGGGAGCCCTAGGCCTCCCCGTGAGTCCCACACAGATAAACTGCTCCTTGCCAAGCCTGGGTACCGTGGCTCCCCCATGGACATGAGGGAATCCCTCGTGCATCAAGAACGGTACATGCCCCTTACCCATGTGAGCGAGCCACATGGTTACCTGCATTTCACAGTGGAGGAATCTGAGTCCAGAGAGGTCAGCAGACTCACTTGAGCCACACGCAAGCTCCCCAGGAGCCCAGAGCCGGTCCTCCCAGCACTGCCCTTGGCTGCAGGTCGCCCCTGACCGGTAAGTCTGAACTCAGTTAGTGCCCTTCCAGCTGTAACAGGAGGTCTGCCTTCTGCTCCGGCAGAGCCCACAGGGAGGGAGCTGGCCTGAAGCCCTAAACTGCCTGATATACGCTGCTGGGCCAGGCCTTATATTCTGGACATCTGCAGGATGTGCAGCCTCAGCCCTAGTCCTAGAGGACCTTGGGAAGTCCAATAAG